CTCTCCCTGAGGCAGCCTTGATCTTCATTAATGAACAATAGGAAATTGAAATTTTTAAAGACACCAGTAAGTCTAACAAAAACGTGTTAAGTTTGGTATGCTGAAGACAACAAAACATTGATAAAGAAATTAAAGACCTGGTCCAGGTCCCCTGGCCAACTTGTTAAAGTTCCGTGGTGGCCCAGGTTCACCAGTTCAGATCCTGGGTGTGGACCTACTCCACTCACCAACTGCACTTTGGAGGTATCTCACATACAAAAAAATAGAGGAGGATTGGCACAGATGTTAGCTCAGGGCTGATCTTCAAGCAAAAACAGAGAATTGGCAACGCATGTTAGCTCAGGGTGAATCTTTCTCAGCAAAAAAAAAAAAAGATCCAAATAAAAGTGAAAGAACTGCTGTGCTTGTGGGTTAGAGAACTCAATGTTGTTAAGATGTCAGTTCTCTCCAATTTGATTTATAGACTCAAGACAATCTTAACCAAAATGACAGAAAGCTTTTTAAATAGAAATTGGCAAGCTGATTCTAAAATTTATATAGAAATTCAAATAACCTAACACAAATAAAACCATTTTTAAAAAGAGAAACCAAGTGGGAGAACTCACTCTACCTGATTTCAAGGCAGTACAGTAATTAAGAGCGTAGTATTGGCATGTGGATAGATATATAAACCAATGAAATAAGGAGTCCAGAAATAGATCCCCACATATACGGTCAGTCTATTTTTGATAAAGAAGCCAAGAAATTCACTGGAGAAAAAGACAGTATTTTCAGCAAATGGTGTTAGAATAACAATTAGATATTTATTTATATCTAAGAAAACGGAGCTGGACCCTTACATCACACCATATGCCAAACCAACTCAAAATGGTTCATATATAAAAGTGAAACCTAAAACTATAAAACTTCAGAAAAGGTGGTTCTCACTAGGAAAGATTTTGACACCTCCTCTTCCCTTAATCATGGGACATTTGGCAATGTTTACAGACATTTTTGATGGTTACAGCATGGGGGAATATTACTGATATCTAGTGGGCAAAGGCTAAGGATGCTGCTAAACATCTTATAATACACGGGACAGCCCCATACAATAAAGAGTTATCTAGCACAAAATGTTAAAAGTGTCAAGGTCAAGAAATCCTGTTCAAGAAAAAAATATGAGAGAAACTTTGTGACCTAGGATTAGGCTAACATTTCTCAGATGGGACACAAGAAGTACAACCAACTTCACCAAATTAAAACTTCTGTTCTTCAAAAGACAGATAAGAGAATTCAAAGAAAAAGTATAGACTGGGAGAAAATATTTGCAAAACAGATTTGATAAAGCACTTGCATCTACAATAAAGAACTCTCAAAATTCAATAAATGGGACAAATCAGTCTTTAAAAATGGGGAAGAGATTTAAACAGATCCTTCACTAAAGAATAAACACGGGGGCTGGCCCGGTGGCACAGTGGTTAAGTTTGCACTTTCCACTTTGGTGGCCCAGGGTTCGCCGGTTCGGATCGCAGGTGCAGACATGGCACCGTGTGGCAAGTCATGCTGTGGTAGGCGTCCCACATATAAAGTAGAGGAAGATGGGCACGGATGTTAGCTCAGGGCCAGCCTTCCTCAGCAAAAAGAGGAGGGTTGGCAGCAGTTAGCTCAGGGCTAATCTTCCTCCAAAAAAAAAAAAGAACAAATATGGATGACATATTGTACAAAAAGATGTACAATATCATTAGTCTTTAGGAAAACGCACATTAAAACCACAATGAGACACCATAATAGACCTATAGGCTAAAATGTCCAAAACAAAAACCAAAAAAACTGACAATATCAAGAGCTGGCAGGGGGGTCGGCCCCACGGCCAAGTGGTTAAGTTCGCACACTCCACTTGCGCAGTCGACAGTTCAGATCATGGGCACGGACATGGCACTGCTCACCAAGCCATGCTGAGGCAGCATCCCACATGCCACAACCAGAAGGACCCACAACTAAAAATATACAACTGTGTATTCGGGGCACTTTGGGGAGAAAAAGGAAAAATAAAATCTTTTTTTTAAAAAAAAGAGCTGGCAGGAATGCAAAGCAACTAGAACTCTCATACATTGTGGGTAATGCAAAATGGGACAGCCATTTTAAAACAGTTTGGTGCTTTCTTATAACATTAAACATACAGTTAATGTATGAGCCAACAATCCCATTCCTAGGTATTTACCCAAGAGAAATAAAACCATTTGTCCACCTAAAAACCTACATATGAGTGGAATACAATTCAGCAATAAAAAATTTAGAAAAAACAAATTACTGATTCATGCAACAACATGAATGAATCTCAAAAGTCTACAGGAACAGAAATCAGATCAGTGGTTGCCAGGAATTAAGGATGAGGGAGATGACTGACTACAAAGAGGCAGAAGGGAACTTTTTTGGGATGATGGCAATTTTGTTCATCTCAAATGTGGTAGTTCATCTCAAATATATGACTGCATATATTTGTCAAAGCTCATCAACCTGTATACCTAAAAGAGTGAATTTTGCTGTATTTAAATTATATCTCAATAAATCTGACTTTAAAAAAATGAAGGTAGGACAGCAGGAAACGGAGACAGAAAATGTACACAACTCTTAAAAATTTTACTTAACAGGTGTACAATATTAAATGGGGCAGTAGCTGGAGGGAAAGAAAGGATGAGACATTTGTACCCGAGCTGCTGGAGATGACAAGGTCTACACTATGACCATGGGATGAGTAACCCAGTAACCAAGTAGGGGCAGGCAAAGGTTGGGAGGAGGAGTGGAGGAAAAGATGTCTGCAGGTTAAAGATGCAAGAGTTTCAGGCACTGGATGGGTAAGTGAAACTGAAGTGAAAGAAACTAAAAGAGGACTATGTAGCAAGAACTACAGTTTTCAATGAATAAAGAGAGGTAACTCAGATGACAGCAACAAGGATCAATGAACACAATAACCAGAAGGAGAAAAGAGGGGAGAGAATTAGAAAGTGGCATGTTCCAGCTATTCTGAGGAACCCAGGCATAAAGGCAGAAATAAAGAGCTACAGGATCCATCCATGGTTTATACTTCATAAGACAGGGACAAAGAGAAGACACCCATTTTTGGACTGTGCTCTATCATAAATAAGCCCTCAGGGAATATTAAGTTATTTAGGGATATATCCTTGTATTTGCTTCTTAGGGTTGCCATAACAAAGTTACACAAACCGGGGCTTAAAACAACAGAAATTTATTTTCTCACAATTCTGGAGCCTAGAAGTTTGAAATCAAGGTGCTGGCAGGGCCACGCTCCATCCAAAGCCTCCAGGGGAGGATCCTTCCTAACCTCTTCTACCTCCTGGTAGCCCCAGGCATTCCTTGGCTTGTGGGAGCACACCTCCAATCTCTGCCTCTGACTTCACATGGCTGCCTTCTTCCTGTGTGTTTCTCTCTTCACATGCTGTTCTCCTCTCACAAAAATACTAGTCACATTGGGTTAAGGGTCAACTCTACTCCAGTATGATCTCATCTTAACCTGAATAATTATATCTGCATTCACTCTATTTCCAAATAAGATCACATTGTGACGTATTGGGAACTAGGACTTCAACACATCATTTGGGGGACACAATTAAACCCATAACAATCCCCCTTCCATTTAATGACTCCAGAGTACTGTGCTTTCATCAGGGTTTCTCTTAACTCCTTTTCCTTGGTGTTTGCAAATCTCCTTCCTCCATATCTTGCACCTAATGGATAATCATCGCAATTTAGAGGAAATTAAAGGTACTACAGGAAAGCGGATACGAAAACAATACATCCCAATGGACTAAACACAGAAGCAGACATGAGAATCTAGTTTTGATGGTTAATTTTATGTGTCAACTTGGCTGGGCCACGGGCTTCCCAGAAATTTGGTTAAACATCATTCTGTGTGTGTTTGTGAGTGTGTGTCTGGATAAGATTAACATTTAATCCACAGACTGAGTAAAGCAGATTGCCCTCCCCAACGCAGGCAGGCCTCATGCAATCCATTAAAGGCCTGAATAGAACAAAAGGCTGAACAAGACAGAATTTGCTCTCTGCCTGACGGTCTTCTCCTGCCTTTGGACTCAGACTCATAGTGGAACTTAACACCATCAGCTGGCCTGGTCCTTGGGCCTTCAGACTCAGACTAGAACTTCTACCATCAGTTCTTCTGGTTCTCAGGCCTTCGCATTCGGACTGGAACTATACTAATAGCTGATCTGGGTCTCGAAATTGAAGATCTTGGGAATTCTCAGCCTCTATAATCACATGAGCCAATTCTCTACAACATATAATATAGTCATGTGTCGCTTAATGACCGGGATACATTCTGAGAAACATGTCATTAGGCGATTTCGTCATTGTGCAAACATCGTATAGTTACACAAACCAAGATGGTATAGCCTATTACACATCTAGGCTATACAGTACTGATCTTATGCGACCACCATCGTATAAGTAGTCTGTCATTGACCAAAATGTTGTTATGGAGAGCATGACTATATATTTGTATGTATGTATGTATGTATGTATATGTCTCCTACTGGTTGTATTTTTCTGGAGAACCCTATCTAATACACCAACTGTCTTCTATCAAGCCTGACATTAAAGAGATATGCAAAAAATGTGCACTCTTCCAACTAATTTTTTTTGTTTTTGAAAACAGTAATTTTTCATTTTAAAATATATTATTTATGTTAATATGCAATGGGTTTATTTTAAAATAAATACTTTTTAAATGTTTTAATTTCTAGAAAGCTAAACATCAATATAGATAACCCAAATAAACAAAACCTCTTTAAAATACTTTTGAAAAATATAAAGGAGTCCTGAGACAAAAAAAAAGTGAAATGCTATTCTATATAATGAAAGCTGCCAAATATCTCATCAGAGAACTGGAATATTTAAGTAATTCACCTCTTTCCATTCTTCACAGCTAAATCAGAATTTCTCATGCTGCTCATCAAAAGATAGTTTGCCAGTTACACAAGACATACCTGATCATCCCCAGAACCCAAAGAGACCACATTAGTATCAGAAATCTGTGTTCCACTATCATCTTGATACAATGGCTGTTGCCATACATGAGAGATCAACGGAACAACCTGAAAATCAAAAGCAGGTTTAAAAAAGTAGTAACACAATCACTACAATTAAACAATGATAAAGAAAATCTAACATTTAGATTATATTCTTCAGCTTATAAAGCACTTCACATATATAATAACATTTTGACTTCATAACCACTGTCCAAATTATTGTCTCACTTAAAAATAAGGAAAAGGAGACTTAAGGTTACCCAGTTAGGACTCAGCATACTTTCCAGTAAACCACAGCAGTTTCTTAACCTCCTATACCCCTAGAGGTAAAAGAAGCAAGCAGAAACAAGCAAGTTATCTGTTTTATAATCTTACTGTTTGAGACACCTAAGAAATTAACCCCAATAACAGGAATTAAAATCATCACATAGCATGGAAAATGGGAACAAAAGTCAGCCCCATTTTATAAAACCAGGGATTGAAGCAGGGCTCTCTCACCTGTGAAAGAAGGCAATAAAAGCTGTGACCAAGGCTGAAGCAATGCAAATGGAAAAGATTAGAAGCAATTCAACAAAAATGACCTAGGTCAAGTCACCCGCTAGTTCAGGGACTGGTTGTGGAGATTTTCCCCAATATCCCTGGAAAAATAAGAACCCAAATCTTCCAATCTAAGACCTCCTTCTAAAGAAGCAGCCACAAGGGGTAAGGCAGAGACAATCATGAAAACACCAGCTAGAGAAGGGTGCACCAAAAGACCAAACAAAACAACAATAAAGCTATAAATGAGATTACAAACTACACTTTCAAAAGACTTTAAAATAAGATATCTCAGATAAAGACAATATCCATAAAAAAGGATAAGGTTATAAAAGTAAAACAGGCAGTTATGAGTAAAGAAAAGATGAAAGCTAACAAAATATTAATAACCACAATGTGAAAGAGCCTCTGAAGAAAACTCAAAGTCATTGGAATTTTTCCAGAATTAAACACTTACTACACTAATAAAACATTTTTACATAGCACTTACAACAATGTGCTTTTGGTTGTAGAAAAGCCAGCTTAATTTGAAGTCTATTCAATAAATAAAAAGATTTCTAAGGTATCAACTCTTCCAAAACGTTTTTCTCAAAAGGCAGAGCAGGATGGGGCACACCCACCTTGCTTCAATGGCAATTTTTAAGGGATAAAGAACAAAAAGCAAAGAAAGCCGTTTTGCAAATTCATTTTGGCAATCTGAAATCCCTAAATATATAACAATATAGCCAATATTTTGGCACAGTTAGTCTTCTTTGAGCCCTCCAGGAATGAAGAATGCCAAAATGAATATTCAAAATGGCTATTCACTGCAGCTTAATAATGCTGGGTGTGGAGCATGGGGTCTTGACTTTGAAAATAGCTGATTCACACAGCTTTCAGAAAAAGAATTCAATTCATCAGGATATTTGTAGAAAACTAATGATACAATATTAAGAAACTAGCACTTTGACAACTAACCCAATGTGTGAGAAAAAGAACACTCCCCCTCACTTTTATCAGTTCAAAGAAAACCCAAAGGTTAAAATTAAATGTTAAAAGAAAAGTTCTTATTAAAACTCCATTTCCCAGAACTTCTTATTTTTGTTACTACTTGACTGTTTAGACTTCATCAAAGAAATTAATTTCTAATACATTCCCATATGTTTGGTCAGCTTTCCCACAACTGCTTCTGTACAGTGGTGAAACCCAAAAACTTGAAGTAGGATGCTTAAGATGAATGCTCCAAAACTAAGTAGTTGTCATTAGCAACTCTCTGATCTGAGATTAAATGCCTTTTGGTATAAATTAACAGTTTTAAAGAGTCCTTCTCTGGGTCAGTTTTTAATACTAAAAGTCAGTGGTCTTCTGGGGCCGACTGGGTGGCTTCATGGGTAGGTTCACGTGCTCCACTTTGCCAGCCCAGGGTTTGCAGGTTCAGATCTGGGCGTGGACCCACACACCACTCATCAAGCCATGCTGTGGTGGCATCCCACATACAAAAAACAGAGGAAGACTGCAACACATGTTAGCCCAGGTACAATCTTCCTCAAGCAAAAAAAGGAAGATGGGCAACAGATTTTAGCTCAGAGCCAATCTTCCCCACCAAAAAAGAAAAAAAGAAAAAAAACTAGTGGTCTTTCAACTACATGCTGTCTCTGAGAAAAACACTTTAGATGTAAGGACACATATAGGCTGGAAGTGAAAGGTTGGAAAAAGACATTTCATGCAAATAGTAACCAAAAAAGCACAGGAGTGGCTACACTAACATCAGACAAAACAGACTTTAAATCAAAAAGTGTTATAAGAGACAAGAAAGGACATTATATAATGATAAAAGAGTCAATTCACCAAGAAGATATAACAATTCTAAGTATTTATGCACCAAATATCAAAGCTCCTAATAAGACAAACTTTGAAAGAATTCAAGGGAGAAATACACTGCAACACAATAATATTAAGAGACTTCAATAGCCCACTTTCAATAAGGGATAGAACAATCAGACAGAAGAACAATAAGGAAATAGAGAAACTGAACAACACTATAGACCAATTGGACCTAACACACATGTACAGAACATGCCACCTAACAATAGCAGAATACACATTTTCTCAAGGACACATGGACATTCGTCAGGATGAAACACATGTTGGGCCACAAAACAAGCCTTAACAAATTCAAGAAGATTAAAATCATACACGGTATCTTTTCTAATCACAACAGAATGAAACTAGAAATCATCAGTAGAAGAATAACTGGAAATTCCACAAATATGTGGAAATCAAACACTACACTCTTAGAAAACCAATGGGTCAAACGAGAAGTCACAGGGAAAATTAGAACCACAAATGAAACTGAAAACACAAAATACCAAAATTTATGGGATGCAGTGAAAGCAGTGTTAAGAGGGAAGTTTGTCGCTGTAAATGTGTACATTGACAAAAAGCAAGATCTCAAATCAACAACCTAACATATGTCAAGGAGTCAGAAGAACAAACTGAACTTAAAGCAGGCAGAAGGAAAAAAATAATAAAGATTAGAGCACTGATAAAATAGTGAACAGGAAAAAAATCAATGAAACTAGAAGTTGTCTTTTTAAAAGATCAACAAAATTGACAACCACTTAACTGGACTAAGAAAAAAAGAAAAATCAAAAATAAAATCAGAAATGAAAGAAGGAATATTACAACCAATGCCACAGAAATAAGAAGGATTAGAACAGAATACTATGAACAACTGTACACCAATAAATTGGCTAGCCAAGAAGAAATGCATAAATTCCTAGAAACACAACCTCCCAAGACAGAATCATAAAGAAACAGAAAATCTGAACAAATCTACAACTAGCAGGGAGACTGAATCAGTAATCAAAAACCTCCCAACAGAGAAAAGCCAAGGACCAGATGGCGTCACTGCAGAATTCTACCAAACATTTAAAGAAAAATTAACACCAATCTTCCTGAATCTGTTCCCAAAAACTGAAGAGGAAGGACCACTTCTAATTCATTCTATGAGGTCTGCATTACCCTGACATGAGATAGCCAGAAGAAAACACTACAAGAAAACTACAGATGTTATATCCCTCATGAATATTGATGCAAAAATTCTCAACAAAATACTAGCACATGGAATTCACAGCATATTAAAAGGATTATACACCACAATCAAGTGCGATTTAGCCCTGGAATGCAAGGATGGTTCAACATACAAAATCAATCAGTGTAATACCTTGCATTAACAGAATGACGGAAGAACCACATGATCATCTCAATTGATACAGAAAAAGCATTTGACAATATTCAACACTCTTTCCTTGCAAAAACACTCAACAAACTAGGAATAGAAGGGAAGTACTTCAACATAATAAAGGCCATTTACGAAAGCCCACAACTAACATCATACTCAATGGTAAAAACCGAAAGCTTTTCCTCTAAGATCAGTAGCAAGGCAAAAATGTCCACTCTTGCCACTTCTATTCAACACAGTACTGGAAGTCCTAGCCAGAGCAATTAGGCAAGAAAAATAAATAAAAAGCATCCAAACTGGAAAGGAAGGAAGAAGTAAAATTATCTCTATTCACAGATGACATGATTTCATATGTAGAAAATCCTAAATATTCCACACAGGAGTTGTGTTGGAACTCAAATGAATTCAGCAAAGTTGCAGGATACAAAATCAACAACCAAAAATCAGTTGCATTTTTATACACTAACAATAAACAATTCAAAAAGAAAATTACAAAAACAGTTCTATTAACAATAGCATCAGAAAGGATAAAACACAGAAACAAACTTGACTAAGAAGGCAAAGACTTATACACTGAAAGCTACAGAACACTGCTAAAAGAAAATTTTAAAAAAGCAAATCAATGGAAAGGCATCCCATGTTCATGGACTGACAGACTTAATATTGTTAAGATGTCCATATTATCCAAATAATCTAACAATTTAATGCAACATCTATCAAAATCCCAGCAGTGTTTTTTGTAGAAATAGAAAAATCCATCCTAAAACTCACATGGAATCTCAAGGGACCCCAAATAGCCAGGACAATTTTGAAAACGAATAGTCAGAGGACTCACATTACCTGATTTCTAAATATATTAAAAAGCTATAGTAATTATAACAGTGTAGTACTGGTATAAAGACAGACAAACAGACCAATGAAGTAGATTAAAGAGCCCAGAAATAACCTCTCACCTATATGGTCAAATGATTTTCAACAAGGGAGCCAAGAGCATACAATGGAGAAAGGAAAGTCTCTTTAACAAATGGTGTTGGGAAAACTGGACAGCCACATGCAAAAGAATGAAAGTAGACCATCATCTTACACCATGCACAAAAATCAACTAAAAATGGATTAAAGATTTGAATGTAAGACCTGAAACAATAAAACTTCTAGAAGAAAACATAGGCAGCATGCTCTTTGACATGGGTCTCAGCAGCATATTTTCAAGTACCATGTCTGACTGGGCAAGGAAAACAAGAGAAAAAATAAACAAATGGGACCACATCAAACTAAAAAGCTTCTGCACAGCAAAGGAAACCACCAA